GGAAAAATTACACATGGAGGGGAAACTCTGTTCCTGTATTGATGCTTTCAAAAGGAAAGACTGATACTTGAGTGAGTTTTTGTGAAGTACCTCAGATCACTGAGTTCTCCTCACGTTTACAGTTTCATCTCAAAAATAGGGGGAGGGAGGGAGGAGACACTGGAGGAAGGGGTGTGTGTGAGAGATTGAAGCTGAAAGGGCAGAATCTCAAGAATTTTCCCTATCCAGCAAATCTGATCTACCTATGTCTGCAAGTGAGAGAAGTTCCTTGCTCTTGCCTGTAAGAGGCAGGAGAATCGATGGTGGGTTCTTTAGGTAGGGGTGGTTTCCACGTGCCATCCAGAGTCCTGGAGTGACTGCATGGCCAGCTGGCTGTACAGATCCTCCCCTTTCTGCACTAATGCATATTTTGGCCTCCAGAGATCACAAGGGAAAGGCAGTAGGGCATGGTTGGTACCTAATGCTGAGAATTCTGAGCCTGAGCCCCAGAGGGGGGAGAGTCTGTGTGTGGTGTTGGGGAAAGAGGTAACGCACTGATGGTGTTCAGAGCTGCTGGAAGTGGATGCACTAGCCCAGGTGGCATACTTCCACAGTACTGCTGCTGCTGTAGTAAGAACTGCAAAATGAGTTAATATATTAAACTAACCCCTTTCCCTCCCACCCACTTCATGCCATTACACATTTATATTTGAAGCATCAGGCATGCTGGGCAGATTTGCCACTGAGTACCTACGCCCCTCCCCCCCCCCAAAACACAAACACACAGTCTTCACTTTGGTTGACTCTTAACCATTTCTGGTAGTCTAGCATGGGTGCTACCTGACAGTTGGTCACTTGTGAGTAGTTTGAGGCTGTTGCACAACTTACCAGTGTCTGTTGATAAACTGTAGCTTGTTTTTAACTTTGGTACAATGTTGGTTCCTTCTTCTGTGTGGTCACCTGGAGATGCACAGTTGCCAAGGCACTGCCTCCTGTCAATGCAAAATCTCACTGCTCTCTACATTCCTTTGTAGCATTGAAAGTGCTGACACTAATACAGCCATCTTGGGAACCAGCAATATAGCCTTACTGGCCCTGTAGTCCCACTGTGTAACAGCCTTCTCAGCATGTCTGACCCCCAACATAGCATTAGCTTTGTGGGAGTTGCTCCACAAGCCCTGGCCTTTCCAAGTCACTAAGCTGAATATATATGTAAGATGTGTCCACAGTCTTTTTTTTTAAATGCTAGAAATCCAACAGCATTTTGTGCTGTGGAACGTAGACAGTTCTTCCTACTATAGCACAGCAGAATGTGATGATGACACAACTGCTTTGTTTTATAGAGCACCAGTGTTTGTGTTGATATTCATCAGTTCTATAGTGGATTAAAAAGCTGCTGTCTAATGGGGTTACATGGTGACTGGGGTCAGTAATTGCCATAGGCCATATCCTGAGCTCCTCAGTGTTTTATTCAGCCTTCATTGAAGCCCTTGGGAGCTTGCCTGAGGAAGAGCTTCACAATTGGGCCCAGTGTGTGTGGAAAAAGGCCTTGCCTGCTATTTGTGCTGTCACTTAAAAGGAGATAATGTGTGACCAAAGCACCACTGCAGGATGTCTCCAATACAGTATGCTCTGCTCTGGCAAGTGGTGGGTTTCACTTTTTCACAAATGCAAGTGACAGGCTGGTAATCACCACTTTGTTTTAAATGCACAATACACCACTTCCAGAGGCCGCCACAAATGGAGATGAGTGACTAGAACATGCTCAGAAACCTCCTCCTTTATTCTATGTGTGCAGCACGCTTTCCAGTACCTTATGCAGGTGGATTTTGCATGGATGGTCAGCGGAGCTGGAGGACAGAAAAAGATCTTTAGCCTATTCCATATTGGTAGCAAATTATAGATTACTGAACACCTGATTTATTTCTCTCTCTAAAATTAAATGTCTATACCAAAGGGTCACTCTTCCAACATGTGTGTTGTGCACAGGGGTTAAAGATTATGATCAGCTCAGCACAGAGTTTGTATCAGTAGTGTTTTCATTGAGGACAATATTGGATTAAACTAAAAACACCTTAATCACCAATCACACTACCAGTGTTGTCAATTGTTTTTGTTTAATAATTGTTGATGTAATATATTTTTGATTGTTTTTCTAATTTAATTTTCACTCTATTGTCTGACTGTGAACTGCAAACAGTGTTAAACTTGATGTAAATAAGGTTTTGCCTGTCGTTCCACAAGTTTTGCCAATTTGCATTTTGTTTTAAATAAAAGTTGCAATATTTTATTGGCAAATAAACTTGAATACATGGTGCTTTTATTGGAGTGGTTCAACTTGCCTGGTTCTAAGCTAAAGATTGCTGCACTGAGCTTAAAAATTAACATCTCTGCAAACATGTAAAAAATAAACATTTAACTGAGCAGGTTTGCAAAGAACGTCAATATTTTATTAACCCCACTGAAATGGGATTGTTCCAGCCAGACTGCAGGGTTGCTGGGTAGTCACACATGCTTATTTCTCAACTGTATAATATGCGAATTCCTTTCAGCCAATCTGAGTGCAAGGATTTGTCTCATCAGTTTTTCCAAACTTTTCTATAACTGAAGTTCTCTCTTGTGCTAGTTACTAAACCCCCTTTTATTTTTTTCCCCTTGGATCTGTTTTTAGCACCAGGGAGCATCTCCGCTTTTGATGGGCTACAACTGAATCTTATGTTTTCCCCTTTCATCTGAATTTAACCTAGATGAGAAAAATAGGAAGCTTTGATGATGAGGAGCTGGCTTTCTTTTGGTCTTAATTCATGACCAACTAATGGTTTATGATGTTTTTATGGGGTTTATTCTTTTGGAAAATATTTTTTGAAGTCTTGCGTACGCTGAAGTGAAAGCAAGTAGGGAGCTGGTGATAGATGGTAAACTCCTTGGCTAGCATGGAGATAGTCAAATAGAGTTTGTGTAAGTACTCTTATACCTATAACTTAATATACAGTTAATTACAGAAGTGTAGTGGTGAGGTGAAAGCTGGTCTGCTCTAACAGAGTCAATAAATATATATCATTCTGCCAAAAGAAAAACAGTAAAGAACCATGTAGCCTATTTATCTTCACAGTCCTATAGCTGTGCATGGTCATTTACTAGTAACTAGAAGCCAATGTGCCAGGAGGGAATACGAACTCAAAATCCACTTCAATAGCAATTAGACAAAATGTGCCTGGTCAGACTCTTTCTAAAGTGAGGGCAAGGGCTGACTGATCTATTGTAGGCTTTAAACTGTGCCAATGGTTACTAAAGAGCCATAAGTACAACGTCCAGGCAGCTGAACTCTGTCCTCAGTAAAACTGTTGGAAATGGGTGATGACCCTGTTGATTGCATTGGCCTCATTAGCACTACAAAAGTAATTCTCCTCCTTTGATAGTCACCCCTTCTTATCAACTATTGAGAATAGGCCACTTCCACCTTAATTGAATTAGCCTCATTAGCACTGACCCACCCCTGACTTGGTAAGACAACTCCCATCTTTTCATGTGCTGTAATATTCATACTGCTTTCTGTATTTTTCACTCTATACCTCTGATGAAGTGGGTTTTAACCCACAGAAGCTTATACCCAAATAAATTTGTTAGTCTCTAAGGTGCCACAAGACCACCTTGTTGTGGTAGCTGTGATACAGACTAACACAGCTACCACTCTGAAATCTGTCCTCAGTGTCTGCTGTTCCACCTCATCTTCACTTTTTGACCTACAGATCATAGAGTAAGTGATTATTCATCTTATTCCACTGTATTTAGTGTTAACATTTTAGGGCTGCTTTTTTTTTTAAATCATTTGGCAGGTACCCCAGACAGCAAACAGTCCCTCTTGTAGTAATACTATCTCTGGCCAAAAGCCAGAGTGCGTAACAGCAAAATCCTAGCTAGTCTATGAAATAGTAATCAAATGGCAGAGTTCTCCTTCACAGCCACTACTCTTCAACCTTTGCTCTAGACAAGGACAAAGACAAGCCACGCTGGTCCTCCTGCTTTATCAGAGCAGTCAAGAGGCCAAGTTGCTGCAATTGGGAGCTCCCTTAAGTGAATGCTGCAGAAGTAGTTTAGCCAAACTGAGGAAGCTGAGCATGAGGAGTGTGCATAGCAAGAGCTGCCTCAGTGAGGGGAAGATGCTGGCTCATATCACCAAATGCTATCCCTGACAGAAGTTCTGGGCTGTAGTGGAGACATATTCATAGACTTGGAATTGCAGACACACTGTTACCTTGCTGTCTAGTGGGGGGGGGAAGGGTTGGCATGGCTAAAGTGAACATCTCTTCACAGCCGATAACAAAATAAGGTTTTTTAATCTTTATATTAAATTGTCAAGAACTATGTGTCCTCTCATTTGGAAGTCACCAAAGAGCAAGGACACCACAAGGTCAGTGTTATACACCTGGAATGCCCACAGTAGGTGGAGGCTGCAGATGGGATTCTTAGTCCTAATCTCTATCCAAACTGTGCATCATCATCTGTGCAGGCTGCTGGGCATCCTCTCCTACAGCTGTCGTCGTTAACCAGATGGCTTGGTAAGAAGGTTCCTGGGACACACCTTCTCACTCTGAGACCAGTCCCCAAATGGGAGATTGCTCCATAGCCAAGTTTAGGTTTTTCTCCACTGCTTTCTTACCAACAGCTGGTGCTGGAAATGACGCATGGGGGGAGAGGCCCAGAGGAGAGGAAGCAAGGAAGTGACTTCTGTGACCTCTTCAGACTTTCCCACGACCCCTCACACTACAATAAACCAAGGGCCCAGACCAGCTCTGCTCGTGTGAAGCAGACCACTATTTGCCAGCCAGAAATCTTGGTTTAGCAACAGCTAATCATTGCTTCTGCTCTGAGCTGCTTGCTAAGAGATGGAACTTCAAGACAGGTACAGCCAGCCCAGCCTTCTACCAGCTCAAGGCTGCACAGGTGCCACACACGTGTGACAATCAGAGCAACCCTTAGAGGCCTCTTTCAACTACTGAGGGAACTCAAAAGTACCCATCACTGTGCAAGCGGGTGAATTTTCAATCTGCTCATGCAAGAGGAGCAGGTCTCATTCTGCAGCAAGTAGCAATGCTGGTCACTGGTACAGTTCCCCCTCACATTCAGGGTCAGGGTAGGAAATAGTTGATGCGGTGAGAGACAGATTTACAACCCTGTGCAGAGAAAAGCTTCTCCTCGGGGATGAACACCATCATCCTGACCACCTCATCCAGCACCTCCTCAGTGTATGGAAGACTGCGGGCCAGAAAAGCATCCCGAACGCACAGCTTCACATGGCGATTCTCCAAGGGCAGGAATGGCACAAAAAAGTCAATGAGGTTCTCTTCAAGGAGGTGGCTGTGGGCAAAGCCACCATCTGCAATGAAAACCAGAGCAACAAGGGCACTCAATGCACAGCTTGTAACAGAACCATTTGTGTCTTCCAGGCGCCTAGATCTCCATCCATCTCAGCCAGCACAAATGTTAAAAGAACAGTGCAGTTTGCCAGGAGAAGCTAGTTCAACACTGAGAAAATATTGTCTGAGACAGGGCCTTGGCTAATCGTGTGTCTGGTTCTTCTGACCTGGAGTTAAAGGCGTCTCTTTCTAAACAAAAGGTCCTTCTGCCCTGAATAAGGGAGTCTCTGACACTGCTCATCTAACCATGCAGAAGCAGCTTGGGGAGGGGGAGGGTCATGGTTTCAATTACACATACAGAAATCATGAAACACTCCCTGGGTAGGAAGCCAGTCGCTCTTTTGCATGAGAAACCATGTGGCTCCACAGCCCGTGTGCCACTCCTGGCCACGTTGCTGCATGATGATGTCAGAGTTGCATGCCACTATGGAGAACCAAAGGGAAAAATCTGCCAGAAGGAGCACTGGGGGGTCCGGTGCTGCCCCCGCATGTCCTGGGCCTCTCTTCACTCTGAGCAGCCGGCTCTGGGTTCTGGAGGTGGCTCTGCTCAGCACCGTGTCCTGAGCAGGGTGGCAGTAGTTACCACGAGTAACAAACTGCCCACGCAATCGTGAGGCTACATCTGCCCCATATCTCATCCCGTTTTTAGGAAATCTGGCTGATACTTACAGATTGCACACGACACACACTTTTATCTCTGGACACAAGACATGTCTGAAACCATCTAGTGATACCAACAGCGGTCAATGCTGTTTTAGGGAAGTGGTCAGCACACCCACTCTCAGACCAGCTAGCCAACAGGGTACTACTGATCCGTAGGGAGTCGGGAGTGAAAGGGGAAGAGGATCCTGTGGTCATCTGGTTGGGATATGCCAGCATAGCATAGGCTAAGGCTGAGCTGCGGCAACATTGTTCATATGGTACTTCTACTCCACTCCCTTTTAAGTGATAATAGGGGCTGTAGCTCAGATAGAAGAGGAAATACAGTCTTATGGCTAAGGCACTGGTCTCTCTCACAAGATATCTAGGTTCAAACCCCAGCTTTGCCACCAAGCCTGTGTGACTGTGAATCAAGTCACTGACGTACCTCCCCAGGGGTGTAGTGAAGATAGATTTTGGGGGGTGGGTGTTCAGTAATCTTTGAGGGCCATGAAAAAGCCAATCAATAAAATGAGTCCCCATGTCTCTCTGCTCCCTGCCAGCCCCACCCAGGGAAGGGGCAGCAGCCTGCAGAACTCCAGTGCAGACTTGCAGCGATTAGCTCAGTTACCTGTGGACTCAAGCAGCTCCAGGTGTAGGTGCTGCTCCAAGTATTCCATGGTGATCTCCTCCCTGGCCCGTCCAGCTCGCCAGAAGTCCAGGGTCACCTGGTTGATGATGTTCCCACCAATGTTACTGGGAAGGAAATGGAAGTTAAATGCTTTATCTGGAATAATCCTAATGTTTATTCCTCACAAAATCATACATCAAAAACCACTAACAGCACCCAGGTCCAGGCCTCGGGGCCGTTGGTAGCACAAGGATTCATGTAGCCCCAAGCCAAAGCTCTGCCTTTCCAATGGCCCTAGACATGGATTTGCTTTCTCTCCCCACCCTGCAAAGAGAACTGAACACTTTTTCACCAGATCAACTGCTTCCATGCCCCAGCCCTGATTCTTAGGGTTAGGCTCCACCCTCCCAGACTATTACACACTGTGAATCAAGAGTACAGAACATATTGACTACAGCCCCTTTATCTTCCAGCCCCTTCTGCAGAGAAGTCAGCAAAGGTCAGAGAAACTGGCATGAGTCCCACTAGAAGCAATGGTCCAGACAGCACTTTGTGTGGATGAGAAAGTGAAGCCGGAAGATCACGAAGGTGGCAGAGAACCCACATTGGTGTTCTTGCCTGACTGACTAGTGCTTTGTAAGGGGAAGGGCAGCTGGAACTCACACATTGGGGCTACTTTTTAAAAAGCTTGTTTCTCTAAGCGCACATGTTCAATGAAAGGGGGCAGGCGGGCACTGAAGCTTCCAAAGGGAACCCCAAAGCTCAGGCAAAATTATCCCAGTCAGAATGGCCTGGAAACAGCATCAGTGCTGGTGAGGGAGTTGCACCAGCTAGAGTGGTGTCAGCCCCGTCCCCACCTTAAGGTGTGTGTGCGCAGGAGGGGGGGGGGGGGGGGGGGGGGGCGCCCACTTGGCAGAGATCCCAGGACAAAAGCTGCTTGAGCCCCTCCCAAGCACTTAGCCAGTACAAAGGGGTTAGGAATTGAGGAGGCAGAGAAGAGTAGGACTGGCGGACACACTGACACTCCCCCCTCCCTTCTCCAAGGGGTTCGTGAGCCATCTCTGATGATGGAGGGGACAAACTCATAGTCAAGATGGGAGTGGGGGAGGGATGAGACTAAAAGACTCCCCTCCCCCCCCATTGCCCACATGTTAGTTCTGAGCAGCCTACTCCCTCTACCCCAGCTCCCCTTCAAATTTTAGTTAGCTCTGTCCTGGAAGCTGTAGCTCCCACATTTCCCCTGGGGTCAACAGGAAAGAAACCCCTTCTGCTTCACAGAGACACAGCCACCCCCATAAGGGGAGGACCCAGTGTGGCGAAGGTTCCAATGACATCTCCGAGAGCAGTCTGGTTTCTAAATGGCAGATGTGCAAAGCCAATATTTCTGCGTGCACAGCCCAGAGGAGCCCTGCTGCCCCCCTTCCCACAGCACTTGGGATCACACGTTGTTAAAGGTTCCCCTCAGCGTGGCAGGAAGAATGACCACAAGAGCAGGGTAGCCCCTCCATCTTTGGGCTCAATTCCAGTTTCCTCTCCACAAACAGACTGATCAAGGGTTTGGAGGCCTATTCATGGGAAGGAGGGAGAGTCCCCCTGACCTCTAGGCCAGTTCTGAAAATGTCAGGCCAGGTCATGTGCTTTCTGAGCAGATAAACCCAGCTGGGATCAGGTGGAGAGAAGCGCCCAGGCCTCTAAACATCAGAATTAAGTAGAGGTCATGGGACTTGCCCTACCACAGCAGACTAATGGCCTAGTTTGGTATATCCAGCCTCCATCAGTGGCCAGCGGCAGATGCTCAAGTGGAAGGTAAACACTTCTCATCACTTCTCTGATTAACAGTGCAATGCTTGCCCAGCTTTCTGGGCTACACCATCTGAGGGGGGCACCGGTTTGATTCCTAAGATATAGCTCACTGGCATGGTGCTACTGATACAGTGTCGGATCCAGGGGTCAACTCCTGGGGGTTGCAGACATTCAGCCTCACAGTCAGCAGCACATGCCAACTAAGGAGCTACACGGATGGGCTCTGGAGAGACAGTTACGTTCAGTCATCATGAGGCAGGGGTGAGCAGCTGTAGTGAGTGGGCTTTGAGGCCATTGCACAAGGAGAATCCAGAGAACTACTTTCCCTTCAATTCCTGTGTCTTCCAAGGGCAGCTCCGTCCCACACCTCAATCTCCCAGATCATGGGACTTTAATATGGGTTGTCACGAACCTTGGAGAAAGCAGATCCTTCCCCGCGAGCCAACCCCTTCTCCCTAGGGTCCCTTGTAGTCACCTGAGGAATAGGAAAATGGATCTCCTGTAATCCACCTCATCGATGCTGTCATAGTGATCCACATAGGGTTTGATAGCATCCAGCAGGCCAGAGTGAAGCTTCTCTGCCTCATCGAAGATGAACAATGACTGCTTGCAGAGCTGCACTGTTTCGCTTATCTGCTTCTTCAGCTGAACCTGCATGGCAGTAGGAAAAGAGTGTGAACTGGTATAGATCACCTGGTGTTCACCACCAGCACTACTGCATCCTTCACACAGACACAACTACCTCTAGCCGTCTCACCCAGCCTCCTCCCGGCTCCTCCTCCAGCCTTTGTCCAGTTTCCCTGAGCAGAAGGTGTCACTTGGGCCCAACCCCCCTCCTGGGCTCTCAGGTTACATGCTCAGGTATCTTCCCTCAAGGAAAGTCTCCTATCCCCAATGCAGACAGTCCCAGTAAAACTCCCCTGCAACATTCCCAGGTCAATACTCCCCACTCCCTACTGTGTCACAACTTTGTACACTGGCATAGGGCTCCTCCAACAGCCTGTGCTCCTGCTCTATCCTCTATTAAAAGCGGGGTCTGAGATAGCTACCTATTCAGAAACGCCCCTTTGACTGGGATTGAAGAGGCTAGGACTGAGTTACCCCTACTACAACCGGCAGCTGTTGTGGCTGGTAACATTGGAGTTTTCTCACCTTGTACAAGTCCACATATTTGGGATGTGGGAAGTGAAAGAGCGAGATAAAGACTTTAACACACTCGCTTTTCAGCCCGTCTCGGTACAAGTGATCAGCGATCATCCGGGCCACAAAGTTTTTCCCAGTGCCAGACCAGCCATGGAACGACAGAGCCAGAGCCTTCTCCGGCTGTGGGGTCTCCAGGAAGCCTTGCACTGCTTTCAGAATGACGTCCTTTGCCAAGTGCTGCCCATGTAGCCTCCTGCTCAGGTCCAACTCTAACCCTGCAGAACGAAAAGAAACACTGATCTTACACCCAAGCCTGCCTGCTATCAATGTTTTTCTTTTATCATTGTAAAACCAAGGACGATTTTATAACTTTTTTGTATGTAGCGGTTACATGTAGAGCAACCTCTGTCTAAGTAGGGGTAAATTACTCCAAAAAACATTGATCCTAGATAGTTTTCCCTTCAAGTAAAGCATCTTGTTGTTTAAATAAACTTCTTGTTTAAATTTAAAAAAAAAATCACTTTAGAGTAGGAACAAGTAGGGAGGACGTTTGGCAGCAGTTTTGCTCTAAGATGAGCCCATCAGAGTATTAGGCATTCTGGCTTGCATTGCTGGAGGGTATGCCTATTCAAGGGGTCTCTGTGCAGTGGTATTACAGATGCAGAGCTAGATTGGAAAGCAGCATTTTGAGTGATCTGATCACAGTAGTGCAAATCAGGATTCTTGGGCTCTATGCACAACTTTGCCACGAACTCAGGCAAGTCACTTATCCTCTCTTTTCCCCTCTGGAAAGTGGGAATAGTATTTAGTTCATTAACGTCTGCAAAAAGGCACTACGATCCCCAGATGGAAGCTCCTAGAGAAGTACAAAGTATCAATCACTATTTGCATTGATTACTGAAGTCCCAGACCCAGTCACAGCTTAGGACATTTTCACATGGACTACATACAGGGCTCAGTATCTACCGTCTAAGTCAGGACTGGGAAAAAGGGATGGGACTTAGCAGACCCTCTTTGAGCAAGCTCTTCCTCCCCCTTCCATGTGCTCTGGGTGTGCAGGAGACTACAGGCAGGAATAGGTAGGGTCTCTGCTCTGGAAAGCGCTCTGCACAATGATGCTAAGATTTTGTCATGGGGTAAATTTTGTCTGTGCGTCACAGAACAGAAAATGTTCTGAAGTTGAACTGTCTAAACTCACGGAACACTGAGGCAAATTCAGCACCTGGCTAAGAACTGCTACTTCTCTAACTTTGTGACCAAAAATTTGATTTAAGAATTAAAAAAACCTCACACAGGTTTGCCCCTAGTTCTAGGAACTGGGAATTAGAGGTTTCACTCTAGCTGACAGGGAAACATGCACACACAATCTGTCTCTTTGGCCTCCATTCTCACTGCATATGAGCACCTCATAATCTTTAAAGAATTTAAGGCCAGGCGATACTGACATCCCCATTATACAGATGGAGAACTGAGGCACAGAGACTAAGTGACTTGCCCAAGGTTACACAGGGAGTCATAGCAGAGCAGGGAACTGAACCTGGGTCTCCTAAATTCCAGATTAGCACCTTAAACTCTGGACCATCCTCTATCTCAAGGGCCTTTACCTGTGATGTTGTTGGCTATTCTGCAGTCTCCTGTCTCGCAGCACTTTCCAAAGCTGCAGTACCAGCTGGAAAGGATCTCCAGATAATCCTGACCCACCAGGGGCAAGCTCCAACCTAGGAAAGAGGCAGCAGTGAGAAAGGAAATTGTATGGCAGGCTGTCTGCCTCCTGAGGATAAAACTTGCCCTATCAGCCTTGAATTCCCCACAGACCCATGCTAAATCTCCTATCAATTTACCAGCAGTACCAATGTCCATATCCACAGCACAACTATGGGGGAGGGGAGGAAGAGACTGACATGGGTAGATAGGCAGTCACTCAAATGGCACATTGCAGCTACTGGGTGAAGCCAAAGTAACTACACAATTACTGACCGTAATTACATACACATCTGGGAAGGACACTCAGTCAAAAGGGAGAGATCCCCATCACACACCCCTGTGCTAGGGATGTAGGCTGGGAAATCGCTAATCCCACTGGAGACGGGACACCACCTCTCGCCAAGGGATGCCTCTTGGCTTGGATGCAACCTTCTTAGAGCCCATACAAATGAATCCAATTTCGCAGCCTGGCTCAGCAGTGTCTGCTTACTGCAAAGGCTTGGGGGCCCTCTCTGGTTGTGCTGAGGGTACAGAAGACAGCAATGAAAACTCACATGTGACTGACAGCTACAGGAATTAAATTGGAAACATACACAAAAGAAGCCGGTCACTCCATATCTTACACGCACAGCTACCTGGAGACACAGGCATTTGCACAACAGATCACAACACTTTTTCTTAACTGTGGGAACATAAAAAGACCCTGGCTCAGATCCTCAGCTGCTGTAAGAGGCTGTGATGGGATGGTCCGGTCCCGTAGCTCCCCTGCAACACTTTCTCTCCCCCAGCATTGGCCGAGACGTTCCGCGAGCCCAAAGACCCCCCTGCGGTCTGGCGGCCTGGGGCAGAGCGAGGTGCCGTGCACTGAACGCCCCACGCGGGTTGCCCGATCTAGGGGAGGGAGACGGGGCAGCTCCTCACCCTGCGGCTCCCGGCTGGCCTCTTCCTGCGGCTGCTCGCAGCCCCCCCGCCACAGCCGGCAGGCCACGTACTGCCTGGAGAGGTCGCTCACTGCCCTACCCGGCGGCATCCCCGGCGCGGCGGCGCCCGGCTCCGCTTCCCGAGGCGCCCGGCTCCGCCCCGCAGCGCCGCACAGCAGCGGCCCGAGGCAGCAGAGCAGCAGCGGGAGCCCAGCGCCGCGCGCCATGGCCGCAGGGAGGCGGCGAGCCGGACTCCCCCAGCGCTGAGCTCACTTCCCGGCCAGCGGAGTTGCGGGGGACGGGGGTGGGGCCAGCTCGCCCACGCGGCCGAGGGCCGCCCCGGGGACTTGCATGGGCCGCCCCCAGGGAGCGCCCCGGCTGCCACCGCGCCCATCGCCCTGGCAGGGCCAGGCCTCCAGCCGCTGCCAGTCCCCAGCCAGCGCGGCTCGGCCGTTTGCACAAGGGCGATCGCCGGGCCACCTGCTCTGCAGCCCCGTGCAAGCCGCACTTACAGCCCGCTGGCCTGGCCCCTGCTGCAACCCCCGGGACCCCAGAGACGGCCAGGCAACTGGGACAATGCGGGAGGTATCCCTCGTTGTGCTTCCCTGCTGCTCGGGCTAGCATTGGTTCCTCGCGGGGTGGGGTGAAAAGCTGCCCCCTTTCACCACAGTGGGGTTCCTAGGGCAACACTAGATCTAAGACAGCCAAGTCCAATTGACCCAGCCCCCAGCGCCCCCCCTGCACAGAGGAGATGCTCTACAGTCTGGGCACTTACTCCTCCGGGTATCCTAGTGATTTGCAATAAGATCCTGAGGCTTTAACGGCTGCGTTGCAGAATGATAGGGCCAGATCCTGGCATCAGCTGGGATTCCTGGGAACATGAATTTTGGGAGGAAGGGGCCTCTGTTACATTCATCCTTTCCTAGCTGCATCTGTCCCAGCACATTCTAGAGCAGTGGTATACAGTATAATATACAGACAGCCCACACAACACACCCAATCTTAGCTGGTCCAAGAAGAAGGAGCCCCCATCACATAAATCCTCCCCCTTAAGGCTAGCCTGGCCTGTGCTTTTACAGAAAAGAGATTCTAGGATTGCAAATAAAGCAAGACTTTAATATTGGAGAAAAGCAGGGGGCAGTTAGAAATGCAGCCTGGAGACTGAGGCCGTGAATAGTGACCAATCATTTATAAATCCAGGTGCTGTCTGACAGCCTAGTGAGTAGTGAGAGACTAGCACCTATATTTAGTGAGGACCAGGAGAGGACAAGTTCAAGTTCACTTGTTATATTCCAGTCCTTCCCATCATCCACTCCTGCCCCTCCATAGCTTAGAGCCTGAGATTCAATCCCTAAACATGGAATGAATATTAAGCACATCCAACTGCTCATGAAGTGCAAGTCAGTTTTTAAATAAGCTTGGCAATTCATTCATTTCAGAGGTCATACACCAGACCAATTCCAAAGTGAGAAAGCCATCCAGTGGAATACAAGGCCATCTAGAGGTTGATACAAATATTACAAACTGTGGTCACAATCTTCAGGGATTGTCCTGTGGGTTGGAAAGAAAAACTTCCCATTATGCAGGAGATCAGCCTACAGAAATATAATTGTCCCTTTGGGCTTTAAAAATCTATGAAACCTTAACACTTCTAACCCTCTGCCTAAAATAATGAGCACTGATTTAAAGCTAACCTGCCTATGACTTAGGGTTTTTCTACACACAAAGTTGAACTAGTTTAACTAAAATAGGTTTAAAAACTTGTTGGTTTGGTTACACTAGTTCAAAAACCCTGTGTGGACACATTTTAAACTTGGCTTATATCAACTTAATTGAAGTCAGTTCCTTACCAAATTGAGTTAAATCAATATAAGCCATTTTTAAACTAATTGAAGTATCTGCCTCAACTCAACTACATCAATTTTAAAAACACCCTTAATTAAACTGGTGCAACTGTGTGTCTAGACAAGACCTTAGATTGAGAAACATCTGCATGAGAAGGAAGAAACTCACTAAAAATAACACACATTCCCAGAACACAGAGTTTTCAGATTCTAAAGGAAAAGAAAGTTTGCAAATGTAAATTTGGGGGGGGGGGAATAAAATGGTTAACTGACCATCAATACACTGGTTCCATGGTACTCGGGCAGATTTTATAGGTCACCAGCTCAGGCATCACAGCAGAATCCAGGCTGCTGCAGAGGGGTTGCATTTCACAGGAGCTAAAAGAGAAGAATGACTGCTTTCCAGCAACCTGCTGACTGTGCACCTATTAACCAGGTTAAGAGATGGGCCAATATGCGAAATATTATGGGACAATACACTCTGGTTTATCTGGCCTGGGGGACATCCAAATCTGTCAGCTAACCAGGTGTTCCAGGTAAACAGAAGGGCTGTTCTGAGCTACAGTTTCACTGCATGTAGCCCTATGTTAATCACCCACTAATAGCTTCTCAATTAGCCTCCATGTGCCAGTGGCTTTCTACTTTTATGCTTAATACTTTACTAAAGAGTAAAACACCCTCTGTTTATTAAAACACCAAAAATTATTAAAGTTATATTTACAGTGGTTTTAAATACAATTTTAGTGTCAATTCTATTTGCAGGGCTTAAAGCAAGTTTGTTTATATATATATACACACACACACACACACACAATGTTGTTAAAATAGCACTAAAATTCAATGAACAGAGGCCTAGATGTGATCTTACTTCATTAATCAACAAGGGGGGGGGGGGGAAAAGAGTGCTGCAGCTATGCTGCTGTCGAAACATAGTGTAGACCCTTCCTACAGCAACAGAAAGGGGTTTTCCATCAATGTAGGTAATCCACTTCCCCAAATGGTGGGAGCTAGCTCATGATCTGGCCACATTAAGGGTATGTCTACACTACGGGATTACTCCGAATGTACAGAATTCGATTTTTGGCAACCGATTGTATAAAGTCAAGTGTATGCGGCCACACTAAGCACATTAATTCGGCGGTGTGCGTCCATGTACCAAGGCTAGCGTCGACTTCCGGAGCGTTGCACTGTGGGTAGCTATCCCATAGTTCCCGCAGTCTCCTCCGCCCATTGGAATTCTGGGTTGAGATCCCAATGCCTGATGGGGCCAAAAACATTGTCGCGGGTGGTTCTGGGTACATCCTCCCCCTCCCTCCGGGAAAGCAACGGCAGACAACCGTTTTGCGCCTTTTTTCCTGGGTGAACAGTGCAGACGCCATACCACAGCAAGCATGGAGCCTGCTCAGCTCAAGACAGCAGTCATGAACATTGTAAACACCTCACGCGTTAACGTGCAGTTTATGCTGAACCAGAACCTGCAAAAACAGGCGAGGAGTCAGCTACAGCAGTGCGGCGACAACAGTGATGAGGACATGGACACAGAATTCTCTCAAACCGTGGGCCCCGGCGCTTTGGAGATCATGCTGTTAATGGGGCAGGTTATAGCCTTGGAACACCGATTCTGGGCCCAGGAAACAAGCACAGACTGGTGGGACCGCATAGTGTTGCAGGTGTGGGACGATTCCCAGTGGCTGCGAAACTTTCACTTGTGTAAGGGCACTTTCATGGAACTTTGTGACTTACTTTCCCCTGCCCTGAAGCGCCAGAATACCAAGATGAGAGCAGCCCTCATAGTTGAGAAGTGAGTGGCGATAGCCCTGTGGAAGCTTGCAATGCCAGACAGCTACCAGTCAGTCGGGAATCAATTTGGAGTGGGCAAATCTACTGTGGGGGTTGCTGTGATGCAAGTAGCCAAAGCAATCACTGAGCTGCTGCTACCAAAGGTAATGACTCTGGGAAATGTGCAGGTCATAGTGGATGGCTTTGCTGCAATGGGATTCCCTAGCTGTGGTGGGGCGACAGATGGAACCCATATCCCTATCTCGGCACCGGAGCACCAGGGCAGCCAGTACATAAATCGCAAGGGGTACTTTTCAATGGTGCTGCAAGCACTGGTGGATCACAAGGGACGTTTCACCAACATCAACATGGGATGGCCGGGAAGGGTTCATGACACTCACGTCTTCAGGAACACTAATCTGTTTAAAGGGCTGCAGCAAGGGATTTACTTCCCAGACCAGAAAATAACCGTCGGGGATGTTGAAATGCCTATAGTTATCCTTGGGGACCCAGCCTACCCCTTAATGCCATGGCTCATGAAGCCATACACAGGGAGCCCGGACAGTAGTCAGGAGCTGTTCAACTACAGGCTGAGCAAGTGCAGAATGGTGATAGAATGTGCATTTGGAAGTTGAAAGGGTCACTGGTGCATGTTACTGACTTGCTCAGACCTCAGCCAAACCAATAGCCCCATTGTTATTGCTGCTTGCTGTGTGCTCCACAATCTCTGTGAGAGTAAGGGGGAGACCTTTATAGTGGGGTGGGAGGTTGAGGCAAATCGCCTGGCCGCTGATTACGCGCAGCCAGACACCAGGGCGATTAGAAGAGCACACCAGGAAGCGCTGCGCATCAGAGAAGCTTTGAAAACCAGTTTCATGACTGGCCAGGCTACCATGTGAAAGTTCTGTTTGTTTCTCCTTGATTGACTCATTCCCTGTAAGGAAACCACCCTCCCCCCTTCAATCACAGTTTGCTTTCAAAGGAAATAAAGACACTATCATTTAAAAATCATATATTCTTTATTAATTGATTATAAACATAGGGAGAGAACTGACAGGGTAGCCCGGGTGGGGTTTGGAAGGAGGATAGGAGGGAAGGAAAAGGACACTTCAAAAGTTCAAAATAATGACAGCCTTTTGCTTGGGCTGTCCACTGGGGTGGAGTGGGCGGGTGCACGGAGCCTTCCCCCCCACGTTCTTACACGTCTGGATGAGGAGGCTATGGAACATGGTGAGGGGGGAGGGCGGTTATACAGGGCCTGCAGTGGCACTCTGTGATCCTGCTGCCATTCCTGAAGCTCCACGAGAAACTGGAGCATGTCCATTTGATCCCGCAGTAGCCCTAGCGTTGCATCCTGCCGCCACCTCTCAAGTGTCCCTCCTCTCTTCACGTTGGTCCCTCCTGTCCTCACATTCACTGGCATCTTTCCTGTACTTTGATACCGTGTCCTTCCACTCATTCAGATGAGCTTTCATCGCGGGTCGATTGCATGATTTCCGAGAACATTTTGTCTCGCGTGCGTTTTTTCGCCGCCTTATCGGAGATAGCCTTCGGGACCGAGGAGGGAGGCTTGAAAAATTT